GGGTGGATATAGCTCGCTGGCAGCCTCACACCGAGGACCTATCCACATCATCATTTACCCAGAATGCTTTGTGTGGAAATAAAAATGTCCCCGTCCGTGTAATATATTTTTAAACTTGTAGTTAAAAAATTTTAAAAACTAAACAGCCTACAGTATTTTACAGTCTTTATTTTACAGTTAAAATAAATGTTTATCAAATAAAGTCTAATGTTACAACTAATCAGAGATCCCTTTAACTACGTAAACAATACTAATAATGACTGCACGTTCCTCACATTCAAAAACAGCTGACGGTGCTTCTTTTACCTGGTCTATGTGCTGCTCCAGAAGGGACTCCAGATCCTTAATGTTATCCAGAGAGAAATAAATAATCTGAAGCAAGAGATGAACAGAAAAGACTCAAACTAATGTAAACAACAACATTCTTACATCAAGCAGTGTAAGAATTCTATAAACGACATGTTTGACTGATTAGGCATTAAAGCAAAAATATCATCCATGAATATGAATTAAGCTGATAAAATACTAAAGAATGATCAAATAATAAACTCATCTATATTCTGAAGTTTTTTCATATGTACATTTGAGCAACTATATAAACAAGGGAAACTCTACCTTTTCAAATACACCTTCAGATCTGTAGTGTCCACATGGAGTGAAATGATTTGTCCCAGAGTTTCTGGTATTTAAAGAAAAAAAAGGCATTTTGAAAACAAATGTATCCAAACAATTTAAGTCAATGTTCTACCAAGAACCACAGACTTTACAGTTCTATCTGACATGAAGAGGTGTCCGTCCAGTTTGGCAGCCCGCTAACTTATAAATGACATCTTGAACTAATCACACCTTTAAACTTAAAACGGGGCATTTCTACAACTTGAGTTAAAGAATAATTGACAATAAAGTAGTTTTGAGTATGAAAAAGTATTTAACAGTGTTTATTCTTTGACCATTCAGATCAATAAAACAGAACCAGAAAAAAAGTCTGAAACTCTTGCAAAAACCTGTTAAGAAAAGTGGAAAAAAAGAAAATATATATTTTTTTGTTTTTCTTGGATCGTCTCTAAAAAACAAAAAAGAAACATTAAAGTAGCTCAGACATAACAGTGTTTGGAGCAGAATCTACTTTCTGGCAGCAATTTTGTAAGTAGACATCACATCTAAAACCTGTTGGGTGTCCATGGAAAATGAAAATCTTAGTATTTGAAGAAACTAATTCACCCACAATGCAGACTTTCTAAAACTCAAGCATCCATTCAAGTTAAAGCAATAAGGGAATAAGATTATCTTACATTGCAACTGTGGCTTGTGTTTCCTTGCCTGCCCTCCACAATACTTCAGCCAGAGCTAAAACAAGACACCGTCTTCTGGTGCTGTTGGAAGGTCGTAGCCTCCTGAGAATAAAAGGACAAATGTGTAAAAAACGTTGTATTTGATTGGTTGCTCAGTTGTTTGATTTCAAACTAACTTACTGAAGCGTAGTAATACCGCTATCTGCGTTTTCAAACAGAAGCTTCTTCAGAACAAATGCTTGAACAGATGCCAGAACTCCACAAGGACCACCCTAAAAAAACAAGGAAAAATGCACAATTACAAAGCAAAACACAACAGTTCAGTTGATTACATGAGAATAAATGTGCCAAAATAAGACAGTCWGGGCAAAATGACCTTTTTTTGCACAATGCCATATCTGAGGTCATCAATCTCAGAAAAGGTGAAACCCTGATTCATCCACTCAACACTGAAACAATTTAAGCTGGAACCAAGAAGAATAGTTTTCAAYTCCTAGAAGAATAAACAAAAGAAGAACAGTATAAAAAAAGTAACCAACAAAAACCTGTGTCCAACATGTCTCAGTAAGCACTCACTGTGGCAGTCTGTTGGTCCATAGCACAGCCTGAATAGTGAAACTCTGGAACATTCCTCTGAACAGACACTACTGGCAGATCTTCCTCCTCATCATCAATATCATCTGTAAATATATTAGGCAAATATTTTTTGGCAAAAAAAGGTGCATAATACAGTCAAAAGAGTATTTTTCTTCCATTGGAACTTACCTAAAACTATCTCTGACACATTCAAATCAGAGACATTCAGTCTAGGGTTTACTCTAGGAAAAAAAAAATAATTTTTTATAAATATAACTCGAGGAAAACATTTTAGTTCACAGAAAAGTATTGTGTGATTACCGATACTGTTTGGTGTGGCAACAAAAAGCTACTTACATGCTTGTTTTCAATGTGTTCTTTTCCATTTTCCCACAGCTGCTCTGATCCCGGTTCCTCTCCGCCGTGCTCTCTACACTTCTGGCTGCGCTGTTCTGAGTTAGACTGCTTTTTAAATATACGTCAGTAAAACGTCTGTTTTCCTCATCTTTTCTGAGAAACACCTGCGACACTTCAACTTTTCGGCTTTGCTTTTTTCTGTTTGATTCCTGAAAATAATAATAAAAAAACATAAGTGTGGTTAAGATGATCAAGGAACAAGAGGTTTTAAGCTTCTTCAGTCTGTACCTGTGGTACCGGTCCAGCCAACATGCCTCGTCTGCTGTGATTGGTTCTGTTCTTCTGGGTAACAGAAGTAACGGAAGTGCTTCTGTCTGCCTCCTTTTGCGGAAAGATTTCATTGTCTTGTTGGGAAGCCAGCACTGGTTTGCTTTTTTGGTAATCTGATTTAYAAGTCATATGATCTGTTGGATTAAAACTAGTTGGGATCTCTTTCTCCAACGACACACATGTTGGTTCAGAGGGGCATGCTACGTTTKTTTCAGACCTGTGAAAGAAATCCCACACAAGTACAAGCCAGTTCTACGAAACCATCAAATGGTAAGGTTCTGACACAAAACCCTGCACGTGAAATACCTTCGTTTGCTGCCAACGACAGCCGGCGTCACTTCGTCTGCCTTTGCGTCATTTTTTAATGGTTTACTTACAGGAGAGCTGATAGTTTGCATCATYTGTGAACAGTGTCCGCTAATGAGCTTGTCACTGTTTAACTGTTCAATGTGGTGCTTCACGATAATCTCAAGCAGTGTTTTCAGGGGGGTCCTCAGTACCTGCAATTACAAGAAAGTCTGGTGCAGCTCATTTTTACTACATTTTCACAGCAAAGCAACGCTTTTGATAGTCAGGCTTACTTTATTTTTTCTGTAGAGATCCTCTATGTTGAGAATCTGCCTCAGATGTGATCTGTTATTGATACTGGCCTCTGTGCGTGGATGCTCCTCATCCATACAGGCGATGGTTCTTTTCAGTCCCTGTGGAGCAAAYAGTGAATGAGCTGTTGACATGTACTTAAGAATAGACAGACTTAAATATCTATAAATACATATACATATACAAAGGAAACATTGCTTCTGTAAAAGCTTTTTTTTCCCCTTAAATCAAACATTTTATCATATTGTAGCCGTTTGATTATGTACTCCCTTCTAGCAATAAAACAGTGCCACAAAATMACATCAGCAAACTTATGTAGTTAAAGAGAAGCTAGGCTAGCTGGCTAGCAGTGCTAATGGTTTTAACAGACGGGTCTATGTTTCAGTCAGACGATTAGCTAACTTACCTTTCGACTCAAATATTCCCTTACAAGGGATGAAGACACCTCTTCGGCTGAAGCCACCATGGTTGGAACAAGACAGGAATGGCCACCGTTGGAGCGAAACACCGTGTGGTGTGCTGTCTGCACCGACACAATCTCTGTACTTACATATTAATTATGRAGTCCTAACCTGGACAAAATGACATGTTGGAAACACGCATTGAGAGCAAAATGGACTCTTCTCTTCGGATCCCAAAACGTCTTTGATCAAACGATAGCTCGATTTATTTCTTTCCTTTTCGGACAGACGAAGTTTCAGCATATGATCRAGTGAAACTGCTAGCATGAAGCAGGTAGCCAGTTTTGCTAACATGTGTTACCATGGTGACGCGTCGCTCCTCAGTCTCGTGGACCATCGCGGACACCCTTTAGCGCCGCCTACCGGAAGCGCGCAGAAAAAAAGAAAACTAAACGATGGGACCGCTTATAAAAGTTTAAAGTTTAGATTGTTGCGCATTTTAAAATGTTTATTTTGGTTCGTGTGGTACCAACTTCTAATAAAAAAGGACAAACTCGTGAAGAACTTTTACCTGCTCAAATGTTGGAATTTGTGCCTAAAATAGTAACCGGCTGGAGAAAATAGGTTAAACTGCTTCGCAATATTTTCACTCTTAATATAATGTAGTAATTAGTATAGTATGGCACTATATTAAATAACTTGCCAGAAAAAATCCCAGTATATAGTGATCATATGAGCAGTGGGGCTGGGTGATAAACATTTAATCTATATAATCTTGAGACAGGCTGACCTATGATTTATTAAATTCTGAGTATAAAACGTCCTTCTTGGCCACACATCAAATTTGGCTTAAATATTATTTTGTAATTCAAAACACGTGTTCTTGTTTTAACAGTGGTAAATACATTTGTTATTGTGATCTGTAGCTTTCTGTATGGTGTATATATTATTGCTAATAAATAAACCCTACACCATTATATGGTCAAGGTTTTTAGATAGTCCATACCTTTATTTGTAACATTAAGTGTTCAAAATGATCCGTAGTCGGGAAATACGATACGCCCAGGTTTATGTAAAACATGTCAACAAGATCTACTAGACCTAGTGGCGACAGTCTGTTTTTATTATTCTATATATGTATATTCACTTGTTTTCCTGTATCTGTGATCATTGTTGCACATATGCACAAGTAAAACACAGTACACAACCCATTTTCGTCATTTAATTCACACATTGGCACCAGATGCCCCCACACTGGACCACGATGCTTTGCGCTAGGTAAAGATGGTGGTATCCACGAAATAGTCCATTGAGACACAAATGTTGCTTGTTAAATTAACTATCTTCTAAATCAGGGATCATCAATTCCGGTCCTCGAGGTCCGCAGCCCTGCATGTTTTACTTTTTTCCCTTCTCTAACACACCTGATTCAATCAGTGAATTACCTCTTCCAAGTTCTGCAGAAGCCTGATAATCATCTATTCATTCACACCAGGTGTGTTGGAGCAGAGAAACAAGTAAAACATGCAGGGCTGTGGACCTCGAGGACCAGAATTGATTATCCCTATTCTAAATACATATACTGTATTTATCTATGAGTAAATGTAATCACTCTGAAAATAAAATTAAAAAATAGGTTATTATAATGCTGCTACATAGGTTTGCCTTTCTGTGGGCCCACCACCTGCAGGACGAGCCATACGAGTCTGGTGCATGATGCTATGGGCAGTAGCCAAAGGCAGGGACCTTGGCGCTCTGACCCTGGCCTACCGAAACTGGCTCTTGGGACATGGAATGTCACCTCTCTGGTGAGGAAGGAGCCTGAGCTTGTGCGTGTGGTTGAGAGGTACCAGCTAGATATAGTTGGGCTCACCTCAACACACAGCATGGGCTCCAGAACCGTTCTCCTTGAGAGGGGCTGGACTTTATTCTACTCTTGAGTTGCCCATGGTGAGAGGTGCCGAGCTGGTGTGGGTCTACTTTTGGCCCCCCGACTTGGTGCCTGTGTGTTGGAGTTTACCCCGGTAGATAAGAGGGTAGCTTCCCTGCACCTTCGGATTGGGGGATAGGCTCTGACAGTCATTTGTACTTATGATTGTTCAGAGTACCCAACCTTCTTGGAGTCCTTACCGGGGGTGCTGGAAGGTGCTCCAGCTAGGGATTCCTTTATTCTGATGGGAGAATTCAATGCCCACATGGGTAATGACAGTGTGGCCTGGAGAGGCGTGATTGGGAGGAACGGCCTCTCTGATCTGAACCCGAGCAGTGTTCTGTTGTTGGACTTCTGTGCTAGTCACAGTTTGTCCATCACAAACACCGCGTTCGAACATAAGGGTGTCCATATGTGCACATGGCACCAGAACACCCTAGGTTGCAGATCGATGATTGACTTTGCAGTCGTGTCATCTGATCTACGGCCTCCTGTTTTGGACATGCAGGTGAAGAGAGGAGCTGAACTGTCAACCGATCACCACCTGTTAGTGAGTTGGAACAGATGGCAGGGGAAGATGCAGGACAGACCCGGTAGACCCAAGCGTGTAGTGAGTGTTTGCTGGGAATGCCTGGCAGAGGAACCCGTCAGATTTTCAACTCACACCTCCGGGAGAACTTCAACCACATCCCAGCCGAGTCGGGGGACATTGAGTCCAAGTGGGCCATGTCCCACGCCTCAGTTGTTGAAGCAGCTGCATTGAGCTGTGGCTGCAAGGTTGTCAGTGCTTCCCGCGGTGGCCATCCTCAAACTCGGTGGTGGACACCCTGGGTAAGGGAGGCTGTCAAGCTGAAGAAGGAGTCCTATTTGGCCTTATTGGCTGGTAGGACTCTGGAGGCAGCTGAGGAGTATCGGCAGGCCAAGTGGGCCGCAGCCCTGGCCATTGCTGAGGCAAAAACTTGGATGTGGGAGGAGTTCAGTGAGGCCTTGGACAAAGACTCTCTATCGGCTTTGAGGAGATTCTGGCAAACCATCCGGTGGCTGAGGTGGGGGAAGCAGCACTTCAGTAACACTGTGCTCAGTGAAGGTGGGGTGCTGTTGACCTCAACTAGTGATGTCATGGGGAGGTGGAAGAAATACCTTTTGGACCTTCTCAATCCCACCGGCACATCTTCTATGGAGAAAGCAGAGTCTGAGGACTTTGGGGCTGGTCTGTCCAAAACTGGAGCCGAGGTCGCTGAGGTAGTTTAAAAGCTCCATGGCGGCAGGGTTCCAGGGGTGGATGAGATCCGCCCTGATTTCCTCAAGGCTCTGGATGTTGTGGGATTGTCCTGGTTGACACGCCTTTGCAACATCACGTGGACATCAGGGGCAGTGCCACTGGATTGGCAAACTGGGGTGGTGGTTCCTCTCTTTAAAAAGGGGGACCGGAGGGTGTGCTCTAGGGGCATCACTCTCCTTAGCCTCCTCGGTAAGGTCTTTTCAGGGGTACTGGAGAAGAGAGTCAGATCAATAGTTGAACCTCAGATTCTGGAGGAACAATGCAGGTTCCATCCTGGCCATGGAGGGAGTCTGGTTCAGTGGCCTCAGGATTTCATCTCTGCTGTTTGCAGATGATGTGGTTCTGTTGGCGTCATCACGCCAGGATCTTCAGCTCTCACTTGAGCGGTTCACAGCTGAGTGTGAAGCGGCTGGGATGAGGATCAGCACCTCTAAATCTGAGTCCATGGTCCTCAGTCGGAAAATGGTGGATTGCTCTCTTCGGGTTGGGGGTGAAGTTCTGCCTCAAGTGGAGGAGTTTAAGTATCTTGGGGTCTTGTTCATGAGTGAGGGAAGAATGGAGCATGAGACTGATAGAAGGACTGGTGCAGCTTCTGAAGTTTTGCAGACTCTGTACCATCTGTTGTGGTGAAGAGGGAGCTGAACTATAAGGCAAAGCTCTCTGTTTACTGATCAGGCTACGTTCCTACCCTTACCTATAGTCAGGAACTTTGGGTAGTGACCGAAAGAACGAGATTGCAGATACAAGCATTCAAAATGAGTTTTCTTCGCAGGGTAGGTTGACTTTCCCTTAGAGATAGGGTAAGAAGTTCAGTTATCCGGGAGAGACTCAGAGTAGAGCTGCTGATCCTCCACATCAAGAGGAGCGAGTTGAGGTGGTTTGGGCATCTGGTAAGGATGCCTCCTGGACTCCTCCCTAGGGCGGTGCTTCTGGCATGTCCAACTGGGAGGAGACCCCGAGGAAGACCCAGAACACGCTGGAGAGACTATATCTCTAGGCTGGCCTGGGAACGCCTTGGAGTCCTCCCAGGAGAGCTGGAAGAGGTGGCTATGGAAAAAGAGWTCTGGGCTACCCTGCTCAAGATGCTGCCCCCATGACCCGACTTCAGATAAAGTGGAAGAGGATGGTGGATGGATGGATGGATGGATGGATGGATGGATGGATGGATGGATGGATGGATGGATGGATGTTTTTCAGCTTGTATGTAATTTGGTTTACAGAGATATACACTTATAGGATGGTATTTTACTGTCTTTTGGCATCTTGCCCCTTGATCAGCTTAAATTTAATTCAAAATCTGTCAGATCTGGTTAGTATTATCAACCAACCAGATTTATCATTTCTGACACAATTTAAGAAGCCCATTTGTTTATTAGAATTCAAAAGGGCTATCGCAGTGCTTTGGCACCAAAATGCATCTCTGAACGGTTTAATTTAAAATCTACCATAATTAGACGTGAATTTCAGTGTATTTTTCTACTCTAAATGCAGATTTATTTTTTTTACGTGAAACATTTTTTTCCAAGTAAAATTTTGAATAAAATGATGCTACAATCTGCAGGGTTACACATTTCGTGTGTGTTGATTGGAGCACTTAGCTTGTCTGGAGTTTAGATGAGAAACAAATCTGAAATATTGAAATATTTCAAGTCTAATTTTTCCTGATCCTGAAACTGTGAGCAAGTTGCTCTGCAAAGTTTCTAATTCAGTAAAATATGGGGGTACTGCAACATTACTTAACATTTAAAGTGTGATTAAAATGAGCAGCTGAAAATTTGCTATAGCTGCCATAGGGTTGATAAAAAAACATCTTGAGTAATGATTTCAACAATTTGTTATTCTTATTCGATCACAAATCCAAGTGTTAGCGTATGTTGTCTTCATGTCTTAGCTCTGTTATGGACTGATACTTTGTCAAACGTCACCAGTTAAAGACTCCAGCTTCCCACCACCCTTAATGAATAATAGATAATAATTAGAAAAAGAATGGTTTTGTCTTTTTCTTTTGAAAATCGAAACAAGTCAGGTCATGAACACAGCAAAATCTGCAGCATATCAAGTTTTGAATTTTTTTTCATAATAACTTTTAAAGACAGCACAACAATACTGTAATTTTGGTTTGTTTTAATAAAACTTGATTTCTATTTATAACATATGACAAAAAAAATCCAAACTAGTCTACTTTTTCATTATCAAACAATAAAACAATCATCCTGGACAAGTGAATCATGACATCTGTACCAAGAGTATTATACTGTGCTTAGAAAGAAAGAAAAAAAAACCAGGGTGTTTGCATGAAAAATTAACATTTTTTTAGATGTTGCTGAAAAMACAGGTTGTAAAAATGAATCGTCTTCCTGCACCATTTGCCATAACATTGCCATCAATTAAACAGACCCTTGACWGAAAGTGGTTTCCCTCAATATAATACCAAATAACTATCAAAATAAATTACAGTAGTAACCAACCAATACATGCAATTTTTAATATTATAATACTTTTGTTAACACACAGATTTATTGGAGTTTTTATATTTCAAGCATACCATTTGCTGTTTTATGGACCACTCAATGTGATATTTACAACGCAGTTTAACATTYAGAAATTGCTGGTGTCATGAAAACTGTTAGGGCCTTACAGCAAATATACTTTTAATGTTTAGTGCAATCCTTAGCACAGGAACAGGAATCTGTCAGTTTTGGCACAGGTATTATCCAACATTCTTACAGGGAGCGCAGCTTTATGATTGCGCAACATGTAAACAATGCCTTGAATTTTTTTGTGTTTGTATGTCTGAGTGTTTTTCCTTCCTTAGGAATGCCAGGCRTACTGTTCTCCCGTTTTACCTCTGAGCACAATAAATGAAGTTTTACAAAAAGACTGAAAGACGACAAGGAACAATCTTCTGCACACGAAGGAGCATCAGTAATCATAAGCTGCAAGAAAGAAACAGAGGAGCAGTTAATGACATCTGCTCTTCAGCCTGAGGTCATACGGAAGAGGAGCATGCGATCCACTTCACAAAGTGCGATGAATTCCAGGTGGGTGGAATCGTGCAGACATGCAGTCATACGAGAGTGATCTTACTTTCTATTGTGAGGATGCAGGTACTTGCTGCTGTGCCCCGGCTGTTCACAGCCTTGCACATGTACTCTCCCTCGTCCTCTGGGAAGGTCTCCGGCAGGTAGAGGCAGTACGTCTCTCCTCTTTCAATATACTGATAGTCCTCACAGTCCTGGAGCATCTCTCCCTCAAACCACCAGGTCACCTCAGGCTTTGGCTCCCCGGTGATCTTCACAGTGAACCGAACTGGCTCAGAATCCACCACCGACTGATTTTTAAGCGGCTTCTTGAACCACGGAGCCCCTGAGCGWGCGTGATCTTCATCATCTTCGTAAGCTGCAGTGCCATTGATGATGCTACCCTCRTCCTCCACTTCGTCCTCCTTCTTCTGCAGGCAGACAGGATCATTTAAAACTTCTGCGTTCTTGTGTTTTAGGGAACAATCTTGTGTGATTTATTAATAAACGTTTACCTTTTGGAGAGCAGCATCGATCTCTTGCTGTTCAAACTGCATTCTCTGGAGCTTCTGCTCCTCTATCCTCCTCCGTTCTTCTTCCTCTCTGGCTTTGGCCATTTGTTGAAATCGAGCTTTCATGTCCACCTTTTGTTTGAACGGCGTCTCCTCAAGCCTCACTGGAGTTGTTACCCTTCCATCCTCATCCTCCTCCTAAAAATTACAATTATTTATATCACTCTTTGAACACAATAAAAAATTTTGCCTGTTCAGTCATGTAAAATGCATAGTGTCTTATTTACATTCATTCAGCAACTATGTAATTAAAAACTGCTCGTTCTGTCTACCAAAATAACACATCAGAGACTTTAAGGTGATCGGGCTTTCCCTCAATCATGAACCAGATCTTTCTGATGCTTCATATGAARTCATTACATCCTCCCACAGCATTTGGGTGCTCTTACCTCCTGGAACCGCTCAGCTTCTCTCTGTTTGATTTCATCATCGATGGCCTTCCTCCGCTCTCTCTCCATCTCAATCTTTTTCTGAATCTCCTCCTCCGTCAGCTGTTTGATCTTCTCAAATTTAGACTTGAGATTTTTGGCTTGAATGGAGCCAGTTTTCTTCAGTTTTGTCAGCTCTTCGTATTCTTTGCTCACAACATCTGAGCTTTCGTTTATCACCTCCTGTGAAGCATAAAATCAATTTACTTGAAACAGACAGTTTGCTTTTTTTTGAGCATGAGAATATTTGAATTGTCATGAGTAATTCAATGTTCTACAGACTGAAAGACACAGCACAAAGTTCAATTCTATCAGCACTTTGGGWATGTTTTTGATGAGATAATGACGTTATTWCTTGATATGACCACCCCCCACCCTTAAATTAGTACTTTTAAAAACTGACCTCGCCCATTTCTTGTCTAAGTTGTTCAAATTCCTGCTTCTCCTGCTCCAATTTCTTCTTACGCTCCTCCGCCTTGCGTCTCCTCTCGGCCTCCTCCTTCTCCTTTAGCAGCTCCTCAAAGTTGATCTCTAATTTTCTGGGGTGCAGAGCCTCCTGAGAATCACTCCTCATCATTTCTTCGTCATCTTCCGGCACCTAAACACAACAAGCCCCACTATATTTATAAAAATATCTGCACTTGCAAGTATTTGTCTGTTATTAAAGTTCAATACACAGTTACATACTTACCCAGCATTACAAAACACTGGAAACTCAACAAACAATAAAGCAGGACCATTCTTATTATGCGTTTAAACATAACATGCACCCAAAAACAGAAATTGACAAAGTAAATAAACTGTTCAGTGTGGATAAAAAAAATGTGCCCTATAGTTTCATAGAGTAAAACTTTATAAGCACGTGAAACTGAAAATATCTTACTGTTTCATCTCCATATGAGAACTTTTCCACATCCAGGACAGGGCTCTTAAAGAGATAATTCAAGCAGAATCAGCAGTACAGATGTACCACTTGAGCCCATTAGAATATGTAGAACATCAAAAAAATTGCAAAACCAATTAAATTTAAAAACAGATATAAAAAAACCTATTGGATTAATTTACCTTAAGCCAGGGATGGGCAACTTAAATAATGGAAGGAGCCACAATTTGTGTTGACACTACCAGAGGGCCACATGGTAGTATGTAATAAAACTGGCGTTTTAAAAATGTTACTAAACAAACGTACGGTGCTGTAACTGAACATATTTCATGCTATGTAACAGTTGTATTCTCGTTTATTAAAAATTAATTTAAAAATATTTGAAGCAAACAAAAAATAAAAAAAAACTCTTAAGCTAGTTGAAGTGCAGTGCAAACTCCTGTGTGGTTCTGGTGAAAAGTCGCTGCTGTTTGTGTACTTGTGACTTTGGTAAACTTCACTTATTTAGCTTTGTGCATCGTGTTGTAGTGTCAATTTATATTAAAATCCTTCATGGCAGACAGCGTCTCTAAGCAGACTAAACACACAGGTTTGCATTCAAATTCTGTGAACAGATAGTCAACCTCCAAAAATTAAAACAATTTTCTATTTAATTTGTATTACTTAAAAAAAGCCCTTTGAAGTTAATTATTTTTATTCTAATTTCAGCCTGGCATTGAGAGCGGGGCCAGACGGAAGTCACCATGTGGCCCACAGGCCACCAGTTGCCCCTCCCTGTCTAAGGCTAAAATAGTTTTTTTAAACTAGTAATCACCAAATCTATTTGTTATTTAGACACAGCATTCAACATGTGATGGTTATGTTTACTAGTTGTGTACTTTACACGTAAAGGTAATTGATAATCATTTTAGAGTTCAGGTATCATTCTGAGAAATCTGAGCAGCAGGAATGTTTTTGGAGCTCTGAGCACCAGTGTAGCTCTAACATGTTAGTGATCAGCCTTACGCATGCACTGCACTCTCCTGATTTTTTATTTTTATTTTTTTTGTCACTGAGTCACACTGGCTCACCATGCTTTTGCGGGCCTCAGCAAAGAGTCTCTTTTCCTCCTCCAACCTCTTCTTGGCCTCCTCCTCGGCCTTTCTCTGCTCCTCCTCACGTCTTTGTCTTTCCAGATCCTCAAAACTGACGCAAATTTTCCCCGGCTTATTTCCCTCCAGGTTCAGCAAGGCCATCAGGGCCTCATCGTCCTCGTCTACAAGCTGAGAAATATCATGTCATTAAGTTTGTTTGACAATGTTTTCATTGTATGTATACTAATTTATACTTATTTTCCACTCAAAGCTAATCAGTTTCAACAAAATTAATTTGTCAAGCTGTTCCTTTAAAGACCTTTTTGATACGCGGGTAAGACTTGATACAATCAGCACATTCTTTTCCTATGAACAGAAATCTTTCAGAACTCATTCCCAAATGTAAACTGATATATTTTAAATCTATTAATGCACAGTTTTTTTACCATGCTCTTCCTGGCTTCAGCAAAAGCTCGTCTCTCCTCTTCCATTCGCCTCTTGGCCTCCTCCTCTGCTTTTTTGCGCTCTTCTTCTACTCTTTGCCTCTCCAGCTCCTCGAAGCTCAGTCTCAGTTTTCCAGGACGAAACTCCTCTTTGTCATCCTCAGCTGGCTGAGAGCTGTCCTCATCATCTTCCTGGTAAGACACAAAAATATTGCAAATGCTAAGTTAGCTTAACACCAATTCAAATTTTAAGGAGACATTATGATGMTTTTAAATCCTTCTTTTCCACATTTAAATCATGCATTTTGGGGTTATATAAAGTGGAACTGCAATGTTTTGTTCTGAATTCCTATTTATTGTAACTCCACAAGCCCCTCTGTCACCCCTTTTTTGAGGTGTGTCGCAGATCAACTTGYTTTGAGGCTGTCTCTTTAAATCAAAACAAGACGCTTTACACCCCGCCCATCTCCAGCTTCCAGACCGGTCCATTCTAGTTTATAGAGGGGTTCGTGGCTTCATAGATGAGCAGAAAATTTTTATTTACAAAATAATTAAAAGATGTCAACAATAGAAGACTTGTCCATCCAGCCTTACATGTTGGAGCCAGAGTCTGACCCAGAGCCAGAGGAGAATGACAAAACTGTAGTTAGTAAGTCTAGACCTTATTTGGCAGTTGCATCGCCAAAACTACAACATAATAGTTCAGAAAATTAAAAAAAAATAGAGAAAACTGAATATATTGAAAAATATGACCTAAACAGAATATAAAGATAATCTAAGCCGTACAGGGAGAGACTAAATGAAACTTTTCTGAACTCCTATAGCAACTCCAAATATACAACAAAATGCATTTAACAGCTAAAAAAGTGGATTTTGCATCATATGTGTCTCTTAACATTCAATAAATAAATTCAAATTGAAGTTCATGTCAGTAAGCTAAAAAAAAGGTTGTTCCGACCAGTGACCATAAAACTCTATAACTCCTCCCTAAACATGTGAAACTAGATGTATATTTACATTAGTATATTTGTACATTTTATTATTTTCAGTCTTTATTTTACATGTAATTTACTGTATTTTACCCACGACACTTACCAAACGTGCAATATACCAAACATCATCTCTCGTTCATGCTGTACACATTCTCTTAATATTTCTATTAATTTTTTTATTGTACATTGTTTATGTGTACATAAGTGTACTTATTTTGTAATCCTGGGTGTTTATGCTTATTTTATTCTAGTGTGCTTATTTCATTCACATTTCTCTGATCTGAATGGTTGCAGCTGTGATGCCTGTAATTTCCCTCCGGGAWCAATAAAGTATTGTGATTCTGATTCTGAAAAAAATCATAGAAAGTTTTGTTTACCATTCCCTCTTTGGCCTCCTGAAAAGCCTTTTTCTCCTCTATCAGGCGTCGTTTGGCTTCTTCCTCAGCCTGCTTCTTCCTCTGCTCCTGCCTCTCCCTCTCCATCTCCTCAAAGGTCAGCTTCAGTTTTCCAGGAGCCGCAGACACCTTCTCTGTGGGCTTCTCCTCTTCATCCTAATTTATGTGAAACATTCACATTAAAATCTGCACTTACGAAAAGGAAAAAAAAAAATTAAAATGGGACACTGTACCTGCTGAACAACAGAGCGTCGCTTGGCTTCCCTGAAGGAGCGTCTGTTTTCATCATATCGTCTTTTCTTCTCCTCCTCTGCTCTCTTCATCAGTTCCTCCTCTCGGTTCTTCTCAATGTCCTCAAAGTTCATCTTGATTTTCCCAGGAGGTCGTGACGATTTCGCTGGAACCACGCGCACTAAGATTGTGTCATCGCCTTCCTAAACGATAAAACGGAGACAAAATTTGCAAACTGTTTCTAAAATCATTTGTGAGCTGTAGCCACAACAATCAGAGGATGAAGTAAAACGATTAAGTTCACTCAGGCTGCAAATTCAAATTGCGCTGAAAGATAAGGTATGTGACTCTGCAGGGCTGATGTTGACTTTTGCAGTTGATATGAGTGCCAGTTTAGGATAGCAGAGTCTAATTCAGTCACAGGAGGAAAGTCTAGAGGGTGTGGGAAACAGTTGGCAGTCATGTGCTGTCTACACCTGGCAGACCTATTCCAGTTGTTTCTAGATCCCAAAGTCRTTGCTTCACAGGAAAACTTTAATTATTACTCGATTTAATTATATATTTTTTTTCATTGGGCAATATGACTCAAAGAAACATTTAGTAAAAAAGAAGATGGTCTACTGTAGAGAAATCCTTTGAAAGCTTTAGTTAGAATCCCGTTTTTGCCTTTAAGTTAATGTGAAATTGTTACATGTTTTAATATGATGCTCCAAGCAATCCTCAGAGTAGTATGTTTTAGTTTACTTTTACAAGAAATGTTCAACTTTTTACTGCATGTTTTGTTTGTTAACAGGGGAGGAATTGTTAGAATTGTAGTGTGAAAAATTGGGCTCTGACAGTAAACCTTTTCAAAAAGCAAATTGTAATAAGGGAGTAAAAACCAAGGTCTGGTGCAAAAGTAATACAAAGTAAAAAGTTTCATTTATAAAGTTGGGTGTAGTATGTTTGTTATGCTTAATATTAGCAACACAATACTTTTTCAAAGCATTCAATTTTTAGTAATAAAACAGAATCTTATTTCCAGAAAAGTGAAATAAGTTTTGAGATTTGTGACTTTCACAAAGTTGCTCAAGATCAATGTACCAAATCATCCCTGTAATAGCAGTGTGCTGTTAAATACTTCCATTCAAGACTTTTTAATGTCATCTATGCTACACCAGAGGAGAATTAGAGCACAGAGTTAGCAGGTAATTGTCTATAATTATCTATCTAGCCCAACTTACGTAACCATTCCCAAGAACTTTACTGTCTGAGAACGTACTAAGCCTACAACTGTGCTTCTATTCTGTGTGTTTTAATTGGAAATATTTGTAGAATTTACCTGCCATCAGTTTCCAAATACACATTTACACATTGCAATGAAYGACTTWRAAAGGAAATGAACTATTTACTCTCAGTTCACAGGCTGGTCATGTCAACAATGCAACCGTATGTTGTAGACCTATATGCAGCCTCTGCCAACTGCTCCCATCTCAAGGGCCACTTAAAATAACTCATCCAAGTGGCAGCTGGAGATTACCTTAATCATTACAGACAAAAGTGTACCATATTTTTTTACCACAGATACAGCAACAAACCATCAAGACAAGATGCCTCAAWGTCAGCAGCACAAGTTCACTGACCTCAGCTGCTTTCTGAGCAAGTTCTTTCTTGATTTTGGCTTTCTCTATGTTGTCCTGGGCCTCTCTCTTTTTCCTCTCTTCTTCCATCCTCTTCCTCTCCTCCTCTTGTCKTTGTTTCTCCATTTCTGCAAACTTCCCCTTCACACTACCTGGGTATTTCACAAAGAAAAATACATAAACCAAGTTTCCCTCTTCCCCCCGTGTCTCTCTTTTTTTTTTTTTCAAACTGGCAGCATCGTTTGTATGTCTTACCTGTGATTTTGGGGACGTAAGACTTCTCCACCTTTTTCGTCTTTACATCCTCTTCCTCATCACTGGAAGCGAGTAGTTCTTTTATCTGCAGGCAGATCAAATGGAGAGTGCGGTGAGGTTAAGGTTGAGCTGGGATCATCTCCTCTGCTACTCAGGAGCCATGCTGGTCCCAGCAAGAACAGGAGCCAAATCCCCGCTAATAGCAGGACCATGTGGCCTTCAGGTGAGCTTCTGATTGGCCTACAACGTTGCTGCACAGGCAGGGGATGAGCGTAGGTGTCCGAGCCTGGCTACCAATGGCACAACATGCACACATGAAGGTTGTTGTGTCTGATTATCACTGATAATCTACTCACATAACACTGTATCACTGTTTATTTAACCACAGCCAGTCTGGAGGAAAAGCAGTTTAGTCTTGAATTCCTGATCTCGACTTTTACCCTACCCTTTGTCAAATCCTAAGCTACAGGACAAAAAATTATAATGCAAGATTTGTTTGTTATAAAGCAAAATGCTACAAAATTTACTATGAAATTGCTTTGTTTTCAAGTTTGTGTTTCACACTTTTTGTAAAAGACTGCATGATTTTTAGACAGATTTAAAAAGGCCAAAATGTTGCATAAAGCCTAATCTAGACATAAATTGTATTTCAGATAAATGCAATGCTCTGGAAATATTTACCTTTTAACTAGTCACAAATAGKTTTCAGATTGAACATATGGAAGAAAGGGCTCAAATTAATAAGAGAATGAGACTTAAAATACCTATTTTCTTAGTCTAAAGAACAACTGTCTGTGGAGTTCTTATCTGCAGTAAATTTATTGGATGAAAAGCAAAAATCCTCAGTCTTTTTTTTCCATTTTACTTAACCTCTGAACAACACCAGCAGGCTTAAGTGCCAATAAGTACAATTTTAAAACAAACCTCAAAGGTACTGTGGACAAATAAGAGTGAATGAAAGTGAGCCTCGATGGAACGTGGAGCACGATATGTTTCATCAAGCTTGTAAAGTTTAAGCATGCATGACTATGTTGGATCCAATCAGAATGGGGAGGAGTGAGTTTGAACCTTTCCTAGCTGACCATAAACCTGAAATTAACCCACAAACTTAGTGCAAGTTTCTATGAAAGTAAACTTCTACAAAAAGTGGAGTTTATAACATGCGGCATTCAAGAGAGCTACAATCCCAATGCAGAAAAATGCTCCACCCCATAAATCCAATGACTACTCTATTGCTATAGGCCCTCAAAATATGTTTTTAACAATACAACAATATGCCCTCCTCCTTATCTGACTTCATTCCTTTGGAGAACTTTGGGCCTCTTGTATAAACAGGATTTACACAGAGAAAAAAACAACACAACTCTGAGCGTCATTTGAAAGCTCAACTGGATGTTTCAGATGATAATGAAGAGTTAAATAAACTCAGAGCAGCTAGTGAAAAGAAGAATGGCTATATTTGCCAGTAATTTATTCTGGAAAGTGTAAAAATGTATATATACTCATACATTCTTCTGAAAAATACAAAAATAACTTCCTATTTTAAAACATGTGTTTCAGTAACAGTTTGAAAAAATGTAAGTATTGCTATTCCATAATAACAGCTCATTTTGATAGATTCAATTTACTTAATGATTGTGCCCACAGTTAAATAAATTTAGTGCACTAAATTGCCCTGGAATCAATTTTTAGCTGTTTTCATAACCAAAAGATTATTTTAGGTCAATCGTGCATTTGTCTCCCTCTTACCAGGCYTAATATAGTTTATATTATGGTGACAGTTTAGTGAGTCGATCAGTAAATGTCAACACAACAGTTGTTAAAATTATTTTTCCACTGAATGGCCATTATTTAAGTACACATTATTAGAAACATATATTAGAAAACTAAAATCCTCTTTCAAGGATGAAAATGTTCTCATCCTTGATAGAGAGCAACATTGGTTTAAGAGAGGAGTAAAGGAAGCTATTTTTGTGGGAAAAAATCATCCATCATTAAACAGGAGTGGAGACACTCGTGTCCAGTTGTTCCTCTCCTACAAAGCTGTTATTGCAAGTATGACTCAGCCCCCTGTGAGCAAAAGGTGTGAATCAGGGTCCCAACAATAGTCAGGTGATGGGGCACATGACCCTCTATAGAGTTAATCAAGGCCCTAATGACTTATTGTTTGTCTGATGGCCCTCTTTTGCATATGACCAACCTGTTTGTCCACCATGTGGAGGCAGTGCTTATAAGGCTGAGTTCACCTGAAACTCCTCAGACTGAAGAAGTCTCTTGGAGGAGAGGAAATGTTTCATTAAAAAAACCCGCACAGAGGACCCATTCAATTTTTTTCTTTTTGATTTTTCTACCTGGATTACTGGGATGCACCAGGGTATTAGAAAACACAAACCAGTTAATATGTTAATTGTATATGTTAATTGTATAAAGCAGTGTGACTGATATGTATGTGCATTGTATAAAAGGCTGAATTCTCACTCAAACTGGTGGCTTTGTCACCTCCATCATGCCCCATCATGCCATGCAGATCACAGTCGGAGGTTAGTAGGGTTATCTGTCTTTGACCTGCTGCTTTCTGCGGTTCCATTCTCTCTCCTTGACGTACTGGTCCTTCCTCTTCTGCTGTTCATCTCTGTTCCTCTGCCGGCTGCGCTCCTCCCTGGCCTTCTGCATGGCCTCAAATTTGCTCGTCACATCTCCTTTRTTCTTGTCTAGCTTTGGCACATAGCTTCTGGCCACGGGCTTTCTGGATCTGAGCAGTTTCTGTGGTTTAACAAAGAGAAGAATGATAAGAGATAATATTGTTCAAATTTCAAAATTAATGCCCCTTTTAAAAAACTGACTGCATTTATCTTTGCCTCACCTCTCTCTTCAGTGCCACATCAGAAATATTCTCAGTGTCATTTGCTTCAAATTCTGAATTCTCCTTCGGTGAAACTCCATTAACATCCTCTGATGTGTCATTRCTCTCCCTTCTGGTACGATTTTGCTTGTTCTCCACACCATTAACGTGTGTCTCCTCAGTCTCATCGCTTGTTTTATCCTCCACGTGGTGAGGTTCAGTGTTTTCGCTTTCTCTTCTCTCTTCAGCATCATTTTCTTCTTGCCCATATTCCTCCGTGTTTTCCTCACTGTCCTGAGCATCCAAGGCTGCAAACTGTGCCACCTCGGTCATGTTTGTGCCACAATGACAAGCTGACTCAGAGGCTCTGTTAGAATTTTGCCTGCAAACCAAAAGAGACGTGTTAGGATAAAATCAACAATGAAAATATGATCACATTAAGGAAAAACTCCCTTTAGTTTAACTGAATTACTAAAAAATAAATTCCGTAATGAAAGTAGTGTTACAAATGACTGGTGCACATTCAGTCAAAGTCATAAAAATATAGATCATTTTGCTTTTCCTGTTAGGTCTTCCTTGTGTAACCAGTCACTTTAGTACCTGCAGACCTTTGAGCAATGTGTTGATTGTGTTCTTGATTTTCAGTGCGTTGTAGTATTGTGTGCTTTTAGATTGCTGCATTTTTGCACCATTATTATGACCCCCGCACGCGAAGCCTAAGCGGGAGTCATTTGTTTTGGTACAGTTGTTTTTGTTGTTTTTTGTTTGTTTGTTTGTTTTTTTCAGTGAATTTTGGTCAACCGTAGCACAAAAACGGCTGCAACAATCAAAATGAAATTTGGCAGGATTGTAGATGAGTCCGACCTACACTGCGCCAGCCAACGGTTTTACAATAGACCCCATATTTGAGGAGGGGGCTCCATCCAAAGAGGGGGTGTCTGGACGTGCAAAAATGCTTGTAACTCAGAATCTGTTCAACATAGGAGCTTCAGATTTCTTTTGTTGTTTAGCTCTGATGAAGCTCTATCTATCAGGCCCACCAATCAGTGCCCCCACCACTCGGACCCCCCAATTTATCTGAAAAAGGGGTATCTGGACAAACAAAAATGGTTATTGCTCAAAAACTATTAAACAAAGGAGCTTCAGATTTCTTTTGTTGTTTAGCTCTGAKGRG